ACCTGTGCACACTGGCCAATGTACCTTAGATTCCCAAGACAGGGCAAGGAAGATATAAGACCCAAGCAATCAGAGATTGTACTGGCTCAGAGCCTTCCCTACTAGCATCATCTAAATTGGAGAAATAATACATTCTTATTCATTGGAGTCACTTATTTACTTATTCAACAAACATTTATTGAGCACTTACTATGGGCGAGGTGAAAACCTCATCCACAGGTGCCAGTGTATGTTTAAGGAGGCATATTAGTAAGTTTCCAATTCTACCTCTGATACTCTTAATATGAACAATCAGTCAGGGCTCTGTTGTCCTTTAAAATGGTGGGAATCCTAAAGACACTTGAACCCATGGGAAAATCAACCAAGAATTCAGAACCTCCAAGGCAACTGAGGGAAACAGGAAGATGATGTTAGCTGTTAGCATAGGTGTTAGAGTGCTATGAAAACATGGGACCATAGTTTTAACTGGACACATCGTAGCTTTGATAACTGAAGAGGCCCACCATGCAGGGCTCTTACAAAATAGCCCCCAAAGGTATAGGTGAAGATATGTTCAGAGACCCAATAAAAAATACAACCAGTGGGCACAGATTGTGCCACCATCACCACAGGCACTCATTTCCAACTTGCTTTCCTGTTGTTGTTTGTTTTTTTAAAAAATTTTATTGATTTTTTACAGAGAGGAAGAGAGAGGGATAGAAAGTTAGAAACATTGATGAGAGAGAATAATCGATCAGCTGCTTCCTGCACGCCCCCCCACTGGGGACGTGCCTGCAACCAAGGCACATGCCCCTGACCGTAATCGAACCCGGGACCCTTCAGTCCGCAGGCTGACGCTCTATCCACTGAGCCAAACCGGTTTCGGCCCGGTGGTTGTTTTTTAATCACATTGCAGGTGAGGATGTGAATACTGTTTGGGCGAGCCACCCTTGGCCAACAGTCTTCCCTCTGTAACCCTTGCCCCACAACCACAGATATTATACAAAGGCACGCTCTGTGAAAGAAGGCAGTGCCATGAAGATGTGAAGGAAGTCTGGGCTTCCTGGTCAGAGAGATCTATCTAAGTTGAAAGCCTGTCCCACCTCAACACTTTTGAGTCCATCATCTAGATGAGTTACTTAGCTTCTCTTAGTCTTAGTTAGTCTGAGTCCTAGTTAACTCATCCTTAATGTGTAGAAGACCAACTAAAGGGGTCATCCTGGAGTAATGAATATAGAACAACTAACTTGGATCTTGAGACACAGAGAGTGACCGATGAATATTGATCCCCATTACCTTGTGTACTTTCAGAACTTCACCTCTAGATAGGGGACCCTCTTGGATGGCCTATTCGTTTTTACTGTGTTTTGTTTGCTATTGCCTCTTTGCTGGCAGATGTTGAGCCTAGTTCTTTCAGTAGAAAATGCTCACTCAGCCTCTCTGTTTCATTTATTAAATACATAATTTTCAAGCACCCTCTATGTGTGACATGCTGTATTAGGTCCAGTGCTGGATACAAAAATGAATCAGATATCAACCCTACCTGCACGATCTGAATAATTTTGGAGGGAACCCAAACATGCAGTACAAAGTAGAGTGATGCATAATTTAAGGAAGGCAGATAACGGGTTGTAACTCCGGGAAATGAGAAATTATTTTCACCGGGGACAATCGGGGGAGACGTTTTGAAAGTGATGCCACAGAAAATAGGCCTCAAGAATGAATAGTGCTTAGATGTGTGGAGATGGGTGAAGGGCATTATCAACAGCTATTGTAGAAATAGGGATGTATGCAAGAAAGCAAAGCGGTTACAAAAAGGATTCAAATAGAGTCATCTGTCTGGGATATGGGTGAGTGAAGTAAAGGAAATACAGCTGAGAGGCACATTGGCATCAGCCCATACAGGATCTTAAAGGCTAGGCTATCAAATCTGGATATGATCTGTAGACAATGGAAGTCAGTGCATGGAAACTATATGATCAATATGACCACCTATTTTTCTATGAGAGGGTCCTCCCCTCACTGACAGTTTTGTGGTTTCAATCTCTTCATTCCTTCCAAAGCCCCTGCCTGAGGAGAATTCTCACGGTTTCCACTTCCAAGTCCTCGGGGCCCTTTCAGAGTTCTCTCAAGTTTTCCTTTCCAGCCTGACTCTATGGGTGGAATTGTGTTGATGTCATAAATAATTGGCACGATCTAAATTCAAAGAAGGCACTAGCCTTTCACAACCCAGGCAATAATTTCTCCTACTTATCCTGTTGATAGAATTATAATTACCCCTCTGCTCCCACGGAGTGGCCATTCATCATTATCATTACAGGTGTACAATTTTGCACGAAGAGAAAGAAAACTTAAGTATTTCTCAAAATTAGAGGAAGAACCGTTACCCCAGGTGCGCAAATAAGACATCTAGCTCTTCAGCAGTTTCTTAAAACACATACAAACCAGTTTCTGTTAGCCTACAGGGGATGATACATCAAGCATATCACAAATATTGCCATTTATTGGAGATCATTTGTTTAGTTATCAGTCCCGTCACCTGAACAATTTAGTTAAATTTGAATGACCCAATCACCATTTCATTTATACATCCTAAGCAAAAAAAAAAAAAAAAAAAAAAAAAAAAAAGCCAACAAAATGCAGGAGGAGGGAAGGAGCAGAAGTGAGAATGCAGGGGGAAAAGGAGCAGAATGCCCACTCTGCCTGATTAAGAACATGCATAGCACCGTGCCAGCTGTGACAGAATGAGTGACCAGACCAATTAAATATGCCAGGGCCCGCTATGAGCTAAATTTCAAAGATACAGACATGAATAAGGTAAGCCCCCTGCTCTCAAGCAACTCAAGGCTTAAATGAGAAGACTGAGAATTAAACAAGTAAATTGCATGACAATGGCCGAAATGCTATGAGGAAAAGGAGCTGTTGAAAGGCTTGGAGAGTACCAGCAGAGAGAGAAGGAGGGTCCTTGAGAGTTGTTATGTGTTCGCTTTGAGGTGAGTCCCTGAACCTCTTTAAACCTCGTCTCTAAAAAGCGATTATGTCTAGTTGCTTATCTTTCAAGGTTGTTTTGACATTCAGTGAATTCACGGTTGAAAAAATCCACTCTGCAAACTGCAAGCCCTACGCCGGGGTCTGAGATGGCTATTTTCTCTGTTCTTTTGAGCAGAGGCCTACTCGGGGCTTATTTTGTGCCCCTGGTTCTCATACCGTGGGCTGAGCACTGACCCTCCCCGCTGCCTCCCTTCCCTCCACCACCCCAAATTTTAGCACAACCTCTTGGCTTCCTACGGGGTGTAGAAGCAGCACACGCGCAAACACACAAGCCACTGAAAAATAAGAGGAAACACTCACCGACCTCCAGCTGCCTCTATCCTTGATGTCCACAGAAGGCAGCAGGGTGAGGGCCCGACACCCAGGGAGGGTCTCTGCTGGGTGGGAGGGCCCTGTCCTCCCTCCCCAGGCCCCCTTTCTCTCTCTGGTCCTCATCTTGGCTGCCTTTTCCACCAACATGTGCCCTGTCCCTTTCTGCCTGCTTCTCTCTACCTGTAACAGACTCTTGTTTTCTCTGCTTTCCTCCCCCTCTCATTTGCGCATTAACACGTCTGTCTGAGAACAGAGTAATTCCTAAATCTCCAAGAGCATGTCTGTGAGGAACTCAGGAGAGGGGGTGCTTCCATGAAGGCCTGCGAACCCTGAAACTATCTCTTAGAGCCCCCATCCAAACGCAGAAAATCTCTTTATCTCCCCTTTCTTCCCCTCTTTCCCTGTCTCCTTTCCCTTCCCCCCACCTTCCCTCTGATACATCAGTCCTCTGTCCCCTTTCTTCTCCAAGGACCCTAAGCCCCTCTGCCACTACTCTTTTTAGTGCCATTCTGTCCCTCCCCAGGCCTCCCCTACGCATCTCCTAGGTGCCAGCTCCCCCTTCTCCTCTCACCCTTTCCTCTCCCACCACCCTCCCCAGGTTCTCTACCGAGCAGGCTGCCCCAACTGAAGTAGTGCAGAAACTCCAGGTCTGGACAAGCAGCCAGCAGCTCAGAACTCTGCTCAGCAGCTGATGACCTCACTGAGTTCTGCGCACGTGATTGGCTACTTCTGGGCTTATGGAAGGAGACTGAAAAGATCCCCTTGTTTCTTTGTCTCTCCGCCCCTTCAGGTTGGATTGGGGAAATAGGCCCTGGGCACAGTGTAGGTACAAAATGGTTTGTGGGCTGCATTCTAGGAAGAGAGGGATTTGTTGTGCCTGAGCAGTGAGCAGAGTCGGTGATATAAGTGGGCAACTGGACTGAGGAGGAAGGAGGCAAACTTGAGAATTTGAGCACCCGACAGAGAGGTGAGACTCTGGGAAGGCTGTGGGCAGCTTCTGCCCTCACTGTGGTGTCTGTCTTTAGAGGCAGGGTCTTAACGGAAGCAAGCAGAACTTTGAATTTGGATCAGGCATTTAATTTCCGGTCTTTGTGTTCTGTTTATATGACCTTGGGCAAGTCACTTCATTCTGTTTCCACCCTGTAAAGTACAATAGTAATAATGCCGGAGGGCTGCTCTGACAGGCCATTTAAAAGGAGTAATGCAAAAGCATTTTCTAATTATTAAACCTCTCATTATTTTAGTAGATAACAGAGTGAAGCAGAGAGAATCCTGGATGAGGAAAGAGAAGTCTTTGGTTTTCTGTAATTGTCACTGTAGTGACCTCCCCCAGGTCACATTTAACCTTTACACGCTGTGAAGTGGGAGAACTGGACCAGTGACCTTTGGGAGCTCTTTTGGCACTAACGTGATCTGATTGGCTGTAAACCTTAGCGTCCTCCTTGAGCTCACCCTTGGAAGGAAGGACTTGCTTCCTTTTTCAATACTTTAGTTAATGTCACTTTTTTTGGTGAGAAACCCGCCTTTTCTTGGGCTATCTGGTGGACCTACTTTTCACAGGGGCCTAGCTCTCTCCCACCTCCACCAACGAGAGTATAGATCCCACACGACAGCAGCACATCTGTAGGGCTCATCCTTGATGGAGATTCTCTCCCCAGGCTACTGGCAGGAGCAGGATTTGGAGCTGGGAACTCTGGCTCCACTCGACGAGGCCATCAGCTCCACACTCTGGAGCACTCCTGACATGCTGGTCAGTCAAGGTGAGAATCCAGGCCTCCTCATCTCGGTGTCTCTCAGTGCCCGCGACCATCCTCATGTCACCTCCCGCTCATGTGGCCTTCACCCTGTGTTCTCCTCGACTTTCCACCGGACATTGTAGTTCTTAGTTCTACACCAACATCCCTAGCACCCACTCCTTCTTCCTGTAGACCTCTGTGTCCCCTCACTCCCCCCCCCCCTAAAAATAGAATGATTTCAGGAGGAGTGTACTGCTCAGAATAAAGAGGTCTGTAAGACATAGTCAGTGTAGACATTTTCATAAGGAACCAGGGGCAATGGAATTACTAGTCAAACATTGATATATAGCTAGCTGTAAGTGAAAGGCTTCCCAAATCTTTCACTGAGATACTTAAGGAATATACCACTCCCAAATTTACTCCGCCAGCTCCGTCTATGGGCCATTAATCTCATAGTCATAGCGTTAATTCTAATTAGATGATTACTTGAGGGGCATTCCAATGACATAAGCACTGCATCGAGTGTCAGAAGAAAGAAGTTCAAGTCCTAACTGGAATCACTGATAAGTAGAATGAGCTTAGGCCCTCACCGCACCGCCATGGTCTCATTGTCTACATGTAAAATGAGGGAATTGGATTCCATGGTCCTTACGATCCCTTTCTAATTCAGATTCTAAACACTGAAACAGTGGCCAGGCTCCGTGCTTCAGTGTATAGACAGCTATCCTGAAGTCTGAGAGCAACTTCAGCACGTGCACCTTCTGTACCGGGAGCGCTCGTTGTAGGTGGAGCTGGAGCTGTGGTGGCCAAGGAAGAAAGGAATAGCAGACAGGGGAGGGGTATGGTCGGTGCCATAGGGCGCATAGGGATGGTCTGAGTTACTGCATTAGGGAACATAGGAATGATGTTTCTTGGCTTCCTAGTCAGAGGAGAGTTATGCCGGTTAAGTGATTTTGCACCATAGAAGGAATGCTATAGATGTTTCTGAATCAGCTGGGAGGTGTTTATTTTATATCTTTGAAGGTCAATGCTATTGGGTCCCAGAGTCAGTCCTGGAGATGAGGGAATCAATCATGGGAATCAGAGGCAATGCTGCGGGGGAAACGGAGCAATGACACCTGGAGGAGGAGCAAGAGTCACGGAGTCCAAGGGGCTCACAGTTGATGCCTGACTAGAAGGCACATTTGGGATTAAAACGGCTCGTCCATATCATATCTGATTAGTCCTTGTTTGTTTGTGTAACATGACCAGGGAGAGAGGGATTCCACCACATCAGGGAAAACCAATGCTCTAACACCAGGATGTTGACGGGGTTTGTACGTTGGGAGGCGGGTAGCCCTAACACTGCAGAAATATGTTAAGGGAGCTGATGAATGAAGGGCAACCATTGTTGGAGGAATTGAAAAGTCGGTGTCAACTGTTTCCGTTTTTATAAAGCTGTTTTGTTTGTGTGGCTTGAAGTTGTATCTGCTGCTGCTTATGTAAGTGAACGCACCAGCCTAGGGCTGGCCCGGCCTTTTGTTCGCTGTCAGTGTGGGGATTATTAGTCACAACTGCTTCTCCCGTTCTTGCTTCCATAGGCAGGTGGTGGCAGGAAGGCGAATCCTAGAATGACAGCTACATAGGCGAATGCGTAGACCTTTCAAAGGTGAATGGTAGACCTCTATCAGAAACGATACATGTAGAGTGGCATGTGTAGACTTGGAGGGCTTTTATTTCTCCAAATGTGTGTGGCCATGCCAGTTTGTTAAGCAAATATTCAAAAGATAACTGTTTTCCTGTGCATTCCAAACAAGAAAATAAGGTTCCCATCACCACCACCACCTCTATTTCTTCCCCTTGTTCCTTCCTCCGTGATGCCCTAAGAGACACAGAGACCTGGACCTTGGCTGGTCTGGATTAGACGTTGGCCCAGAAATGGGTGGAGAGACTAGGGCTTGCTCCGGAAACTAACCCTCTTCTACTCCTGCAGACAGTCAGCCCTGGACATCTGATGAGACAGTGGTGGCTGGTGGCATGGTGAAGCTCAGGTGCCAAGTGAAAGACCATGAGGACTCCTCCCTGCAGTGGTCTAACCCTGCCCAGCAGACGCTGTACTTCGGGGAGAAGAGAGGTAGAGCCGTCTCTCTCTGAGGGAACCCTGGGCTAGGGAGGGGGTGGCAGCACTGAGGGGAACGGTCCCTGTAGCCCGGAGGCTGAGGCAGGGGATGGTATGGTTGTTTGAGGGAACAAGAAGCCATGGGCTCCCCAGCTGGTTTCAGAGAAACTTGGCTATTACAGCTCTGACTTGAGCCTTCCGTGGTCTCATGGGGTCTTGGGTGGACTTGACCCCAAAGGAGCAGGAAGAGACGGCCTAATCTAAGTGTTGACCTGTGAGTCTCACAAGGAGGCCCTTGAGATCCAACATGCTCTTTTTTTTTTTTTTTTAAGCTGTTTTTTTATTTAAAAAATATTTTATTGATTTTTTACAGAGAGGAAGAGAGAGGGATAGAGAGTTAGAAACATCAATGAGAGAGAATCATCGATCAGCTGCCTCTTGCACACCCCCTACTGGGGATGTGCCCGTAACCAAGGTACATGCCCTTGACCGGAATCGAACCTGGGACCCTTCAGTCTGCAGGCTGATGCTCTATCCACTGAGCCAAACTGGTTTCGGCACCAACATACTCTTCTGAGTAGATCTGAGGCTGCTGTGACAGTGGTCCAGGAAAACAGCCTAAAGACTGTTGAAACTCAGGAGCAGGATTTTGCCCCCCCCCCCCCAAATCACACTATACCCCTTCTCCCCAAAAAGCTGGTGGGAGATAAACATGAAAGGTGCCAGTAAAAGCCTTGCTTCCCACTCCCCCGATTCCCCGCCAGCCCTGCGAGATAATCGGATTCAGCTGGTGAAGTCCACGCCCCATGAGCTCAGCATTAGCATCAGCAACGTGGCCCTGGCGGACGAGGGCGAGTACACCTGCTCCATCTTCACTATGCCTGTGAGAACTGCCAAGTCCCTCATCACTGTGCTGGGTGAGGTTCCCCGACCCCAGAGTCACTGCCGCATACTCTAGTGCAAACAGACCTCTAGGTGCGTCCCCAAAGGAGTCTACAGCCAGGCAGGACTCCGAGCCCTTTGGAAAAGTTCAGCCCAGGTTCCCTTCGCAACGGAGAAAAATAGAAAGAGCACTGACTTCTAATAATTTCTCCTCTACTTACCGTTTGCTCTGGGACAGACCTCTTACTCTCTCTGAGCCTGAACTTCCTAACCGGTAGCAGCAGGATGATGATGTCTGTTCCACCTAGCTCCCAAGATTATGTGAGGGAAACATGGGAGGTGCGTGCAGCCTGTGATTATAGTGTCCAGGTTGAATATCACAGTTGCTTACCTGCTTTCCTCCTATATTTTACCCTATATTTCAATTCCCTTATTTGCTTCCTTGAGCTTCATACTTATTCTGTGGCCACCCCATTGGCCTCTGGGTTACCAGGTCACATATCTCCATACTATTATACCATGCCTCCTCTCCCCTCCCCTTCACCTCCCTGCCCAGATATTTCTTCCAGGTTCTTAGGTAGGAGATCAAAGAGTAAGATACCTAGTTTTCTACCCATCATAAAGCACATTAGGACTGAGATATCCTCTCCCCGCACCCCCCCAAGAGACCATCTTAGCAGGGAGAGCCCAGGGTAACCTCCTGGCCTCTCCTTCACATCCTGCCCATCCCCTGTGCCTGGTAGGAATCCCACAGAAGCCCATCATCACTGGTTACAAGTCACCGTTACGGGAAAAGGATACGACCACCCTACACTGTCAGTCTTCTGGGAGCAAACCCGCAGCCCAGCTCACCTGGCGGAAGGGGGATCAAGAGCTTAATGGTAAGCCCCTCCTGCCTCGGAGTTACAGGAAGAGGTGTGCTGGGAGGCAGAGAGAATGAGAGAGGGAGTGGTGCGTGTCTGCATGTCTGTGTGCACACAAAGCATGATGGAAAAGGAAAAAGTGGGAGTGACAAATATTCTGTGTACACTCATGGGTGTATGTGTGTACATATCTGTTTCACAACTTTCTAAGTTTGTCAAAGTTGAAACTCACCATCTGTATGTCTACAGTGGGGCCCACACACTATCTGTGTGTTAGGGCTCACTCTGTTTCTGTGTGTGTGTGTGTGTGTGTGTGTGTGTGTGTGTGTGTCTACTCCAGGAGAACCAACCCGAATACAGGAGGACTCCAATGGCAAAACCTTCACCGTGAGCAGCTCAGTGACGTTCACGGTAACTCGGGAGGATGATGGGACCGACATCACATGCTCTGTGAACCACGAATCTCTAGATGGAGCTGACAGATCCACCTCTCAGCGCATTGAAGTTTTATGTATGTCATGGGCTTGTGGGTGAAGATGAGTCCGGTATGAGGTGGGGTGTGGGGAAAAGGAAAGTGGTGATGGCTGTACGTGAAAAAATAGGCACAGATACCTGGGTAGGTAAAAACAAAATGAGACTAAATGTGGTGGCATAGGCCAAGGGTTAGCAAAAGGCCCAATAGCAAACATTTTAGGCTTTGCGGGTCATATGATCTCTCTCTCTCAACTACTTACCTTTGCTGTTTTTGCAGGAAAGTAGCAAAGATAATATGTAAACAAACAAACAAAGTGTGTGTTCCAACAACATTTTATTTACAAAACCATGTAGCAGGCAGGATTGGACCCAATGGATAAGCTTGCCAAGCCCTGGTGTAGGCCTGTCCCATGCAACCAGCTTGTAAGCTGTTGTGGCAACTCTAGCAAACCAGTAGTCAGAAGATGTGCGCTCTAGTCTGCCCTCCGTTACTTCTGAACCATGTGATGCTAAGAAAATTGCTTCACCTCCCTGAGTTTGATACTTTACTTGCCAAATGAGAAGATGAACATGGGGATTACTGAGGCTTCTTCTTGATCTAGCTTTTGATGGTTTCAAGAAAATGCAGGCCGTAGGAAGCACAATTGCTCCGGCATCATTATTCCTAGATCTTTTCCTAAGTACTCCTCTATTTACCACAGCTCTTTGATTTTTCCTGGGATTCTGACCGAACATGTCCACGATTATCATCACTACTCTTAACCTTTCCCAGGATCCTCCTTCCTCCAAGGAATCTGCCTTGAGAATGGACAGTGAACTCTCCTCCTCTCCTGAGGAAATTTGGACATTTTCAAATACAGCTTTTCTGAGTGGTGGAACCAAGGGGGACGGAAAATAAAGCCCAAAGCTGGAAGATGAAGAGTTGTAAAATAATGTATTCTTTTTCTTCTAATTCATCTAAAGGCTGGGTGTTTCCCCAAAATAATTAAAACCCTGAATCTCTTTCTTTTGGGAGATACCGGCCTGACTTGAGGGCCATTTAAGTCATTGCTAAACTTGTTGCTGAAACTTGAACATGAGGTAGGTCTGGGGTGGCATTACTTCCCATTCAGCAGACTCTCAATTTGGAAGCTGACGACCTGGATTCTGGCCTCTACTTCTGTGCTATTTCCACCAAAGCATGGCATCGCTTAGTGCTTTCTGCTTACTTCCCTGGACTTTCTTGAGGATAAATGAAACAATATCGAAAGAAGAGTTTGGTAAACTTGAGTTGTAGGTTGCTATGATTTGTTTCTCTGACTGTTAGTTCTGAGGGCGAGGCCCCTGGCGTTGGGTTTCTTCCTCTGAGTCTGGGCCCAGGCCAGGGCGAAGGAAGCGCTCCGCTGTCGGGGTCCCAGAGACTTCTGTCAGGAACCGGCCATCTGGCGATTCCTCTCCAGGGAGCTTTCTGGCCCACCTGTGATCAGTGGTCAGTGGACAAATGCTACACTCCAGGCGCTACGCTGGAGGTTCCTGTGGGGCCTGCTTCTCTTTGTCCCGATTGATTTGACTGAAAACCACTAATTAGCTGGTTAAGCTTGGTTCTGTCTTAGGGGAAGCTCGGCCTCTTTACCCATTCTTCCGAGCCAGCATCTGGTTGTGCTGTTCTCCGCAGCTGCCTGGACCTCGCCTCCTCAGCAGCCCTTGGGTGTCAGTGGCAGATGCCATATCCCTTTGCAGAGCCCGTCTCTATGGTGTCAGTGCCTTTTTGCAGCCAAACTGTCTCTTGCTGTTTCAATGCTCTCACTTCATTTTTGGACTGACCATTAAAAATTCTGTTTTATTGTCTTCAACTGGTCTAAGTCCCCCTCCAGAACAGAGAGGACTGAGAAGTTGTGAGCTCAACAGGCAAGTTCAAGTGTATTTATTCTGTCACAACTGTGCATGAAGTTCTGTTTATGCGCTGGGCAGCGTGCAAGGCTCAGATGAACCGGTGGCACGCCTTCTCAGCTCTCTGCTAGACATGTCTTAGGTCCTCACCAAGGACAGACCCTCCAGAGCCCTACCTCTACCAGGTGGCAGCACCAGTCCCCCCCACGTTCAATGGCAATAGTGCTCTCTGCTCACAAGACCAGGGGGAGCCAAGTCTTGATTCACAGCCGCGTGGCCTCCCGAGGCATCCGGTGTGGAAGCTGTGGTGTGTGACAGGATGCTTTGGAAATCAAGGCGATCTGAACACCATGTCCTTCTCCACAGACACACCAACTGCGAAGATCAGGCCGGACCCTCCGCATCCCCGAGAGGGCCAGAAGCTGCTGCTGCACTGCGAGGGGCGAGGAAACCCCGTGTAAGAGGAGTCGTTTCCCGGCCGCCAACACAACTCCACCCTCTCAGATCCAGACCTTCACATAACGTCTTCCTATCTTCCTGTCGCCTCTGTACTGTCTGAGCCTCTCGTTTTCCCTGACGCCAACAGCCATGCTCTGCTTCTACTGCCAAGCAGCGGAAGGGGGGAGGGGCTCTCCACCCCACGGGGTCCCTGCGGTTCCCATAAGGAACCCCAAACGGTCCCCCTCCCCCTGCCTCTGAGCAGCTCTGTGTCTCTGGCCCCTAGACCCTCTCGAGCTTTCATCGAACAGCCCCCGACTTCCCTGCTCCGTTATTTCTGTTTCCCTTTAGCTCCCTGACCTATTCTCTCCTGACCTCTCCGCAGCCCCCAGAAGTACATGTGGGAGAAGGAGGGCAGCGGGCCGCCCCTGAAGATCACCCAGGAGAGCGCCCTGATCTTCCCTTTCCTCAACAAGAGCGACAGCGGCACGTACGGCTGCACGGCCATCAGCAACCTGGGCAGCTACAAGGCCTACTACACTCTCAACGTGAACGGTGAGCCGCCTCCATTCCCCCCGCACCCTCTCTCCCCTTCTCTGTCCACCCTCTCCCCTCTCAGACCACTCTCTCCCCTTCTCTGTCCACCCTGAGAGCACCCCAGATGGTGCTTTGGGGTGGACTAAAGGGACAACAGCCCCCCACTGAGGGCCTGAAGACTCAGCTGCAGATCCCCCCTGAAATGAGCACTAAGGAAAGTTCAACAGGGTGTAGGGCTGGCCGAGGCCTTGTTTAGCCACAAGGACTCAGTGGCACCGTCTCCAGCCCCACACACTCTGGCGGCAGGAATGGTCATCCTGTGTTTACCCCCGAACCTCTCGCGTATGGCTGTCGATGTCTGTCCTTTGCAACAGGCCATTTGCAGACTTGCTTCGGGGATGGGGACAGAATGCAGACTCCTGCAGACCTGGGTCAAGGCCGCATGTGGAGATAAGTTTGTACTCTGTTGAGAAATAGTTGGAATCTTTCCCCAGATGCCATATCTTCTAGAGGAACTGGGCGATGCCTCTTCTCTGACGTTCTTACCAAAAGGTGCAACCGTAAAACCCAGGTCAGGGGAAGAGACAAGCTGACGCAGAATTCCCTTATGGAAAGTGGGCAGGTGATTGGAAAAAAAAAGTACATGTTTTTATTGATTTCAGAGAGGAAGGGAGAGGGAGGGATAGGAACATCAATGATGAAAGAGAACCATTGATTGGCTGCCTCCTGCATGCCCCCTACCGGGGACGCAGCCTGTAACCTGGGCCAGTGCCCTGACTGGGAATCGAACCCTGACCTCCTGGTTCATAGGTGGATGCTCAACCACTGAGCCATGCTGGCTGGGCTAGGCAGGAGAATTTTTTGCAGAACCCAATAGCAGTGGAGTGGGGTCGTGCCAGAAAGTCTTACAAGCCTTTCCCGAGAAGAGGGAAATGCATTGTCAGGGGAACATCGAGGCTCCCTTGAGTGAAACATCCATTAAAGCCGACCTAATCAAGCCTGAGGAGACAAAGTAGGAAAGAAAAAATATATAATAAGGAGTTAATGAGGCGTCAAGACAAGCTGAGTCAGTGGAAAAACAGCAGTTCTCCCACGGACAGGCTCCCAGGGACAAGGGCCCCGAGTGTCTGGCTGGGGCGGATCTGACCCCGGCCAGATCTCAGCATGGGGGGACAGTCTCAGCACAACAAATAGAGCCAGAAGCCTGGAGCAAGGACGGGCCCTGAGGTTCGGTGTCCACCCCCATATCTCCCCGCAGTCAGGCTGGATGATGATTGGCAGCCAGAGCAAGATCTTGTGCCCGTGGTTGGCCTCTTGCTGGTCCTCTGTGCCCTGTGCTGGAAAGTGGGTCTTGTTCAAACTGCTCCCAGTGCTGACCCCTGATGGCAGAATGAGTTACTGCACCTTCTTGCAGGAATAGCCTAAGCAGTGCTGACTCCACCTGCCTGGAATGAAATTAAATGTCGTGGAGGACCCAGGAGGTCATGTTGCTATGGGAACCCGTTTGTCTAAGGAATTTCCGTTTCCCTAATCGCTAGAAAAATTACCCAGGGTTTGTGTTTATTGTGGACTGGGTCTCACGGACTCCCCAGGAGAAGGGCTGCTTCCTGTCACTTGCACCATCACACGCCCCCATCAGATCATGGAGCCCTGGGGTCACCCTTTCCTTCCCTCCTGAGTGGAACATGAAAAACCAGAGCATCAACATTTTCTTTTTAAATAAGGCACAAGCAGGCACGGCTCTTAAAGCCGGCCTGATCAAGCCTGAGGAGACAAGGTGGCAGAGACAAAATATAGACTAAGGAGTCAATGAGGCATCCAGATGCAAGCTGAGACTGTGGAAAAACAGCAGCTCTCCCATGGGTGGGAGTCACATGGATGCTGAGGGTAATGTTGGACTCATCAGCCTGGGCCCTGTGTTCCCGGGCATTTGGGACTCTGCCCTGGCTGGGGCTGTCCTGGGCGTGCCTGGCCCCTCTGCATGGTGGGCATCGATCCTCCATGGATGCTGCTTTGGAGGACAGGTCTGCTCTCTGACGGCAGAGACATCGGCCATCCTTGGAGGCATCAGGGCGGAAATCTTCAACTTCCCCAGACCTCTGCATGGTGGGAAGGAACGCAGTCGCAGACTCTCCTGCTGAGACTTGCTGGAGGGTTGGGTTTGGCTGGAACTCAAACTCCTCCGTCGGGGTGGGGGGTGAGGGGGGAAGCTCTGGTCTTCAGGACAGGGGTGGCCGTCTGTCACTTTTGTAAGGCGCATCTTACAAAGTGCCCAGTTCTGGGGTCTGTCAGTCTTTTTCTGCTCCTTTTCTAATGATCTCAGGGCAAAGGGTGAACAGGCTGAGAAGCCCCTGTGGAGAATCCATCTCAGAATATCACACGGACAGAAGAGTATGAGGGATGGAGGATAGGGAAGGAATACTCTGAAAGCCCAGAGATTAGAAGAAAGAAATAGAGAAAGAGAAGCAGCCAGGGAGAGAGAGAGAGAGAGAGAGAGAGAGAGAGAGAGAGAGAGAGAGAGAGAGAGAATCTAAACATTCAAGTGATGAACTTGGACTTTGTGAAGGTCAAACTTCAGGGTCATGAATTCAACTTCAAGGTTAATTGGAGGAGATGTCTCTATTTATTCATGAGCACATTAATGCCTGTAGACATGGCTATGTCCCACACACTGTGTGAGAAACATAATGAGGCCCATCCCCTTGCTGAGCGACCCCACTCCGTGGTCCCGGCCTCAGCCTGTGTTCTCTGCCATGGGAGACTGCGTGTGGCCAGGTCGGAGATGCTGGGATACGGGGTTTCTCATGCTGACTGTGTGCATTGCCCCTACTCTCCAGACCCCAGTCCGGTGCCCTCCTCCACCAGCACCTACCACGCCATCATTGGTGGGATCGTGGCGTTCATTGTCTTTCTGCTGCTCATCCTGTTCATCTTCCTGGGCCACTACTTGATTCGGCACAAAGGTCAGATATGGGGGAGCAGGAGGAGGGGTGGGCACGGGGAGGGAGGCGGGAGCTGGCTGCAGGGAGGGCCTTCGGGGACCAGGCGGCCCCTCCGAGGTCTGAGGAGGACGAACGCAGGCACCTTGGCAGAACTGGGGCCCCCTGGCCCCTCGGCGGAGCTGCACTGCCTTTTCATCACCCACAGAACCGAACTTCCCACTCAGCCAGCTGCTGCGCCCACGCGCTCCGCCACCACAGCTCTCTGCCTTCAGCAGGGACAGCGAATCTGCATCTTCGAACCATGTCTTTCCTTCCCTGTCTTTCTGCTGTCTGGCCTCCTGTTTCTTGACCTTTGACCTCCTTCCCCCCCCCACCCGTCTCCACAACATCCTCTTCTTGTTTCCTCTCTCCTATCTGCAAAAGGAAACATCTCACTACCTCTCTTCACATGCCTTCCTCTCAGATGTTCCCCTTGTAACTTCTAGCGGCAGCCAGACTACCCAGTCTAGCCAGCTCTCTACTGCATTGCACAGGGAGCCGACATGCCAATTCCCCTAGCACCACCATACAAACAGAGATACACACAAGCACACACATTATGCATGCATGTAAATATGTATGCACACATGCAAATACTAGCATATGCACACAATCTACATATAGATACACAGACACATACATGTGCACGCATACACACACATAGACACACACAGGCACACATAGATGCACATGCACATCTACACACACACACACACACACACATGTTTTTGCCAGTATTGTTGAGGTCCTCTATGTAAAGGCAGCACTCACTAATTCACAGGGGTGGGGTGGGTGAGGGATGTTGGCAGCACGTGCACGCTAGGTCTGTTGGGATGGAATAAAGCTCTGACCAGGAGAAGCGGGCCAGGCCTGGGGTGGCCGGTGGGTCGGTGGGTGGGTGGGCAAGGGGGCTCGGAGGTTTGGAAGCCGCTCCTGGAAAGAGGAGCCTCTGTGCCTCCCCAGGAACGTACCTGACACACGAAGCGAAAGGCTCCGACGACGCGCCAGACGCGGACACAGCCATCATCAACGCGGAAGGCGGGCAGTCGGGCGGGGATGACAAGAAGGAGTATTTCATCTAGCGCCGCTCGCCCTGCGCCCGCCGGGGCCCCACGGGGACTTCTGGGGCCACGACCAACTCGGACTTGTACAGAGCCACCCGGGGCGCCCTCCCGCTTGCTCCCCAGCCCCCACCCCTGTACAGAATGTCTGCTTTGGGTGCGGTTTTGTACTCGGTTTGGAATGGGGAGGGAGGGGTGGGGAGGGAGGGCTGTCCTCAGCCCTTTCCTTGGCTTCTCTGCATTTGGGTTATTATTATTTTTGTAACAACCCCAAATCAAACCTGTCTCCGGGCTGGAGGGGCAGGGGCCCTGGGGCAAGAGGAGCAAAGCCCCTGAGCTTTAGGAGGAGGAGGAGGAGGAGGGCGGGGAAGAGGTAAGGACAGGATGGGGCAGGCTGGTTTATGGGGGGCAGGGGGCTGGCACCAGCCCTCGGTCCTCTGCACAGAGCAGCTGCCTGGACTTCCCTGGGCCGGGAGGTTGTGAGCAGAGCGGGAGGTGGACGGAGACAGTGCTCCCTGCTCTCCGGTCCCTGAGGAGGGCGGCCTGCAGGTGGCAGGCAGAGGCCCAGGGCGTCCACACGGGGAGGACGTGGTCCCCGTCCGGGAGGATGGGTTTGGAGAGACAGGATGTGAGATGGCCCACCTCCCCTTGCCCCCCGGATGTAGGAAGCAGGCCCTTTGCACAGGAGCCGCCCGTGGAGTCGCAGGGCCAGGCGGCCCCTCGTGGCTCCAGCAGCCGTGGGAAGGCCCCTGCCTGCTCCCCTTGCCCAAGGGCCCTCACTGCCCCAGCCCTGGGCTATTGCTGGGCAACCACTCCTCCTATGGCATTGTTTACCATCCCCTCCTCCCGCCCTGCCCTGCCCCTCCCAGGCCTACACTGCCCCTCAGCCCGTCCCCCCTCCCAGCAGCCAGGCAGATATAACCACACAAGCACTAAGAGGAGCTTCGCTGCACTGAGCTGTTTCCTGCCCAAACAAAGAAGATAATGTGAACTTTGTGAGTGTGTGGATGTGTGTGTTGTGTGCACATCTGTGTGTGAGAGAGGCAGCGAGCGGGCCCCGGCAGGTGGCGGCCCTGGGACCCGGGAAGGAGGGCCTTCGAGGAGAGGACTCCCAGCCAGCGGGGTGTCTCCCGGGCGAGGCTGTTTCATCCTGGCACCTCCATGCCACCCCCAGTGCGCACCTGTCACGGAGACAGCAGTCCGGGGACGTGTTCGTGCTCAGCTGTCCATCGGTCTCGCCCTACAACACGGAGCGTGGACCTCGGCCCCGTCTCCCTTCTCGGAGCTGTGGAGTCAGGCCCACACCTTGCTGTGTGCCCTCGGCCTGTCCCTGGCCCCAACCCTAATACCACCCCTGGCACCTCCGTGCCCGCTGAGCTGAGGGCTGGAGAGAGAGAAACGTCCCTTCTTCCCACCTCCACCCCTCCTTTCGATTGTCTGTCTTCCTCTGAGGCCTGAGCTGGTTGCCATAGAGATGAGTTGCTCAGGCTCCCGGTCCAGCCAGCCGCCCGGCCTCAGATCCTGGATGCCCCCTGGCGCCGCTGTCACCCTCACCCGGCATGTCCTCCCCGCTGACACCCAGGGGTGTGCTCAGGGGGGGCGGCTGCACCCGCAGGCCTGCCCCCACCCCTCCCCAGTTCAGGTCACAGTGAGCGGCTTTCCCAGCAGTGGGTGAGGGCCCTGGGCACCGGGCAGCCCCTCCAAGCCCAGGCTCCTGTCTCCTAGCACCGCTTCGGGGAAGTTGACTTTGCCTCTCTGAGCTCAATCACTCTGTCCATATTACACAGAAGCCATATTTGTACCGGGAGTGCGGGGAGAGGGACCATTGTGTTTGTGCGTCTGTCGGGGCGGGGGCGGGGCCGGGGGCCGGGAGGGGACCGTGTATCTTTATAACCTTTCTAACTCTCCTATGCTAATCTCCGAGGGCCACCCTCAATATATCGATCACCGTGTCGCTCGCTGGCTCGGCTGCCTGCTTCTTGCCGCTTTTGCTCCCGTGGGGATGCGTGGCTAAGGGCTGCTGGCCGGTACCCCATTTCCAGAGGGGAGGGAGGGGGCATGGGCCTGGCCGGGCCCCTCTCCCCAGGAAACTCTGTATGGGAACAATACAGCTCTCCTAGGGAGAGAAGCGCGCTCACTCCCTCCGGCTGAGGCCTTGCTTTCCGAGTGTCTGGGGCAGGGCTCCCCCTGCCTTCCACCAGACAGGAGGGGGGGAGGTGCAGGTGACGGTGAAGATGCCATGACATCATTCCAGAACAGCTTCAACAGGTCCCCCAACCCGTTTCTCCCCCTCCCCCCTCCCCAGGGGAATCCTGAGCTAGTGTTGGTGGGGGAAGAGGGGAAGGAAGGGAGAGGAGGGGACGTCTCTGTATGGTCTCTCGCCCCCGGGCTTCCCTGCTCCACCGCGGCGCCCCGTGGGGACCGGAAGGAGGCCGCTGGCAGGACTGGAGTTAGAACACCACCTGCCTCCATGGACGTCCGACCCAGTGTCGCTAAGCAGCCCCTCTGCGTCCCCAGTCAGACTGCGCCATTGCTCATCGCTTCCAATGTCCAGACTGCGGCTCCCGCACGGAAGAAGTAGAACGTGGGGGTGAAGGGGGGTGGAAAGAATCAGCAGAGACCTGGGAAAACATGGGGGGCGGGTACCTAAGGGTCGGAGTGTCGGCTTAGGGGTTCTGGCTCGGGAGACACGGTCACCACCTGGAGAGAAAGGGGCTCTCCCCCCGCGCAGAGCCTGGCAGGCCTGAGGCCCCCCGTGCAGAGCTGCACAGCCGCTGGGTCCCCCACGGACACGAGTAGAGGCTCCCCCAGAGGCCACAGGCCCCTGGAAAGAGGCTCTGCCTTTCAGCCCACGTGCTCTGCTTGTCCCGACAGGGGCTTCCCCGCACCCCTCGGGGATGAGGCACCCTCAGGAGCTTCCGTGGGCCCTCCCTCCTCTAACAGGGAAGCAGCCAGAGCCTCACACCTGGGTCAGGTGTGTGCCCGGTGCACAGCACACGCCACCCCACAGGCCAACGAGCCCTTCTCACCCCGGACTCCTTCCTACACAGAGAGCCCGGCCCTCAGCACCACAGGGCCCAGCCCAGCACCACCGACTCCTCTCGCCAGCGTGGCTTTTGAACCCTCTCTCCCTGGCTCAGGTTCAAGGGGCGGAGGAGCAGCGAGCGTCACCGGCCGCCTTTCCCTCCAACTTCCCAGCATGCCTCTTATCTCTGCCTCACACTTCACCCCTGGCCCCTCTTCCTTCCTCGAACCCAAGGAGCCCTCCTTGCTGGAAAGCCCTTGGCTTCTCAGCCTCCCTCCACCTTCGGGGAAGGACCCACCTCCTGGTCCCCACCTTCTTCCTTTGCCAAGCCCGGGACCCCACCAGCGGGATCCGACCTCAAAACAGGAAAAGCCCGGGGCCAATGCCCTGCTCGGGCCTCAGGCTCAGACAGGCAGTGGGCGTGGGGCCGAGGCTTCCTGCGTGCCCCCACCCCTGCCACCCAAGGGCCCTGCCCAGAACCGATGGCCCTTCATTAGCCCGGCGCTTATCTGGGGACCGCAGCAGGTGACAGCCGCGGCCTCCCTCTCTGCCTGCGGGAGCCCAGCAGTGGCATGGGGAACTGCCTGCGCCCGGTGAGTGTGGGGCGGCACCCGCAGCTCTGCCCCTCCTACCCTCTGCCCACCCACCCCGGCTTTTTCTTTTTCATTCTTCTTTTCTTCCCTCCTCATCTCGTATCCCTTCCCTCGTCTCCCCTCGCTTCTTACCTCAGAGCCCCAGGTCTCTATGGCTTTCCTGCTCATTTGTCTTCCAATCAGTACCATCCAGGCCCCTGGCCGCCCTTCCTGGGACTCCCCTGCCCTCCAGCCCTGCCCCCATGCCCTCCCCTGGCTGTCCATGCCTCTGCTGGCTCCTCAGTCTCCACTGTGATGGCCTTTCCCACTGCACCCCCACTGCTCCGCTCGGCCCCTCCGCCCCCTGTCAGGTGGCCTTCCCCAGAGGCCAGCGGGGTAACTACAAGTGTGATTGTCCCTCCGGGGACCCCCCCCCCAGGTGAATTCCTTCCCCGACGACGACAACTCGAGTCACCTTTTCCTCGAAGATGAGCAACTGGAGGGTTTGGATGATTACCCCGACTACAACTACTCGGGCATGGACGCGGCGGCCCCCTGCCACTCCTGCACCCTGCTGGACCCGTCCTCGCTGCCCTTCTACGTCCTCGCCAGCGTCCTGGGCATCCTGGCCAGCGTGGTCATCCTCTTCGCTCTGCTCAGTCCCCGCTCTCCCCGGCAGCTCTGTCCCGGCCGGCGGCTCCTCCTCACCCAGCTGGCCGCGGGCAGCGCCCTCTGCAGCGTCGCGGTGCCCATCCTGGCCCCGGGGCTCCAGGGCGCCCACAACACCTACCTGTGCCACCTGGCCCACCTGGTCTGGAACGGCTCCGCCTTCGCCCAAGCCCTGCTGATCGGCTGCCACGCCTGCCTGGGCCCCACCCTGGGGCCAGGCCCGGTCCCACGCCTCGTCCTGGGGCTCTCTGTGGGGCTTTGGAAACTGGCCGTCCTCCTGGCGGTGCCCATCACCCTGGCCAGCGACACCTCCAATGGACTCTGCTCCTTGGCATCCAGCCAGGGCGTTCTGAAGCTTCTGCACAGTGCCAGCCTTTGGGCCATCTTTGTCTTGTTGCCCCTGGGCTTACTGGGAGCCAAGGGGCTGACAAGGGCACTGGGCAGGGGGCCGTGTCCCTGGGTGGATGTGCTGTGGCTCTGGTTCCTTTTCTGGTGGCCCCATGGGGTGCTCTGGGGACTGGACGCCCTCGTGAGATCCAGGATCTTGGTGCTGTCGTCCTGCCCGACCCAGCAGGCGCTGGACCTGCTGCTGTCCCTGGCGGAAGTGCTGGCGATCCTGCACTGTGTGGCCGGGCCCCTGCTCCTGGCCGCCTTGTGCCGCCGGGCGGCCCGCGGGGCCCTGCCCTCCTTGCCCCTCCCGGCCAGTCAGCCCTCTCCTCCGGATGCCCTGGGAGGTAAATCTCCACTCCCTTCCTCCCTGCCGGCCTGAATTAAAGTCTGTGCTGCCTCTGTGACGCTGCTGGTTTCTTATTTTGTCTGGGGCTGGAGAGGAGAGGAAGGGACATGAAGAGAGAGACCGAAGAGGGGAGTTGGGTTTCATGCCAGGCCGGCCTGCTGGCTTCTGCTTCCCTGGCTGGCGTGGGGAGTACGTGGCTGATGTGCCGACATCCTCAGGGCACACAGGTGTTTGCTCCTGGTGTGCGGATGCTGCCATCTCTCCATGGGGGAGGAGAAGGGGGACCAGAACAGGAGGGGAGCAGCTAACCCTGAACAACCAGAAGAGATGGCTTAGCAGGTAAGGAAAGGAGAGAAACTGCCACAGAGAATGAAGACCAGAAACTGGAGAAAACAAAGCAGAGAAGATCGGAGCTGAGCCCAGAGCACGGCTTCCCCTCCCGGCTGGCCTGTCCTGCAGTCCTCTGGGCCTTTGTCTCCCTGACACCTGCTGGCTTTGTTTAGAGATCAGGGCGGCGGTGGGTAAAGTGGAGAGAAGCAGCCTGGAACCTCACAGAGTCCAGGGAACAAGATAATCTAGAAGCCACCACTTAGAAGTCATTCTTCCGAGGTGGATTCCTCAGCATGACCTGAACCCTCACGCGTGTGAGCATGTGCGTCTATCTGTCTCAATCTGTTAAAAACTCACATCCATGTTAGATGCATACTTATAATAATATGTTGACATGTCTGCTTACTTCCCATTAGTATGTGAATTGCACACACCCGTGTGTGTGTGTGTGTGTGTGTGTGTGTGTCTGTGTGCTCACCCACCTCAGCCTTCCCCCCACCCCACTCTCCATCCCTGTTCTTAGGACATAGAATTGGCAATTATGACACACTTCCTACACATATGTTTTCTTTATCCCTGTTTCTGTGCTGAATCTTTTCTGTAGAGGTTGTGTGTAGGGAACTAAAAATCTAGAAGTTGTGCAACAGGAGAAACTTAAAGGAGCAGAGGCCTGAGCGGAATAATTTCTGCTTAGAATGCACCACACTTCTCTTCCAAACCTCAGCTCTTGGAATAAACCTGTTCTCCCCACACAAGTCTTTCCTTCCACCTTTCACACCGTCCCTGTGCCCTGGGCACCTCTTTCTTAGATGCCCCTGAGTTTTTGGCTGCTAAGCTTGATCCTGGAGGCTTTTCTCAACCTCTGTGCAGCCACATCTAGGTGATGAGTGTAAGAATAATGAATCGGCCCCTCTATATAAAGGGAATGACTTATACTGCCACCAACAAATTCACCCTCTACCCAAAATCTCTCTCTCTCTCTCTCTCTCTCTCTCTCACACACACACACACACACACACACACACACACACTCACAGAATTCCTCTCTAGCTCAGTTATAAGCTGGGGAAACTTGAGAGGGTACCTTGCATTGGAATCCAAATGTGGACTTTCCATTTTTCAAAGGTGAGCATACCTGGCTCCTGCCCCACACCCACTGCCTGCCTCTAGGCTTGGAGAGCCCTGGCCGAGTGCAGGAGGCAGATGCGCCTCAAACTTTTTAAAGTGGGGGCCAGATCACGGTCCCTCAGAGAGCTGGAGGGCCGGACTATATGAACTACTAATTCCTACTGTAACACCTCGGCTGCGCTCACTGCCCAAAAAACCTGGCGGGCCGGATCAGACTCCTCTGCGGGCCGCATGTGGCCCGCGGGCCGTAGTTTGAAGACGCCTGCGCTACAGCATTCTGGGCAGACAGCGTGAGAGGCCTGGGAAGTGTCCCGGGTGGGTGCGGTGACACACCCTCCAAAGCCCCCCCCCCCGCCTCCTGTCTCTCAGTAGCTACCAGGTTAGCTGCTGTTGGGTGCGTGCTATGTGGAAGGGTGGGATGTAGGGATGATGGAGATGCGGAGGCATTCTGAAAGAGAAAGGACGGGAAGGAAGTGAAGAAGAACAATAACTCACAAACCTAAATGACGTTCACACGGTTCCTGAGTGCTCCAGTGTTCTTTTCCCCTTATTTCCCATTCAGCTTTCTCTCAGGATCGCCCCTTCGACCCGTGGCCACCCGCTCAGTCCTACAGACATCGCCCAGCTCCCTCCCCCGGGGGAGGACGGCCTCATTGAGGGGGAGGGTGACTTTGACTTGCAGACTCGCTCAGTATCAACCCCCTGCGAGGGAAACTTACTGGAGACCACTGGCCTTGTCTTAATCATTAGGCTGTCCACCCGGGTTCAGTTTCCAGGTGAAAACCTCTCCTTGCTCCGTCCAACGAGCAAGAATCCCAGGTGATCCAGCGGCCAGCCCATCCCTCAGGAAGGAAAAGCAGAAGTTTGAGCCTGCCGCCGATCAGAGGTCAGGGCTGGTCAGATGCCCTTCCTTCCCTAAAGCTACCTCCTCCCCATTCTGCCCCTGCCCGCTTTGCCGGGTCCCTTCAGGGGCCCGCTTCTCCGCGTCATCATCTCGGCTGCATCCAGGCAGTCTGAAAAGTCTGAGCCAGGGAGCCTGACCTCAGGCCCTTCTCTGAAGGCATTCCTCAGAATCCCGCTACCCAGCCCACTTAACCCACTGTGTGCAGCACACACTCCACCCTTCTCCTGGATCTTGTATGCAACCCTCCAGGAATACAGATCCTGTTTTCTTAGAGCCCTTAAGCCTTTAATCTCAGGGTTGGCAGGGATGTCAGCTGCATGAGAGCTATTGGGCCTCCTGACTTAAAAAAAAAAAAAAAAAAAACTCTATGCGAGATGAAACCCAGAGGGCAGGCTCCTGGGAGCACACAACCCGGGGAAGGGTCGACCTGCGTTTGCTCCTTTAAGGAGAGAGACTTGTTTTCCGGGGAAGGTTGGAGATCACATGGACGCCACTGTTCGCCACTGTTCGCCACTGTTCGTTGTTTATCCCAAGCTCAGGCCCCTGCCAGGGGATTTAGGAAACAAAGAGCCTGTCCTCACACCCTTTTCCTTTCATCCCTCCATCCTCCCGGCCTCACCCTCACCTTCCTTCAGAAGCCACCCTCTGAGGAATCCTAATTGAAAACTTCACTGGGAGTTTAAACCTAATTCATCGCCAACTCTAATTGCTGGGGATTTGCAAGAAAACCATTATAGACTATCTAATTATTCTGACATCAGCAGCCCTCTGCCTGGGCACACGGAGAATCGCAGTTTTAATTAACAATGCATCTTGCAGATGAATGTGACTGTTTAGGTTAATTAACAAGTTCAAGTCCCTCTAAATCATCTCGGCACATCGTCTCTGTCTCTGCGGTTTGGGCAGGAAGGGCGTTTAAAAATAAGTTCCGCAGGAAGGCACGTTAGCTTTTATCTTTCCTGTAATTACTCGGGGAAAGGAGGGACTCTCCAGGAGGGACTCTCCAGGAGGGAGGACGGCACTTGAAAACGGGCTTGGGGAATTTGGGGGCAGAGCGTTAGGGGGTTTCGGGCATCCTGGTGTCACACTCCGAAGTCGGAAAGTTCTCAGACGTGTTGGTATTAACGCGAGGGAGGAGCCCTTGTGACTTTCAGATCCCTCTAACGGACGGACCAGGTGTTTGCGGGCTTGGTTTCTGGCACGAGAACCCCAGCTTCCCCCTCACTGCCCATTTTGCCTCACTTTTCTGTGTGCGTTTCTCCCACCGTGTGGGGACACTGTAGGCTGCCTACTCCCTGAGATTTCACAGATACTGTCCCGAGGGCCACCGGCCCTTCTCTGGGGCGACTGCGTGTTCTGTTTTCCTAAGCAGTTCTCTGGATTCCAGAAGGAGGCGCTGCGCGTGGCTCCAAGCAGCACCCTCCTGAAGGACTTCTGGTCCTAGGTCCTCTGTGCACTTTGGGGAGGAGGGGCGATAAGTCTTGGGAAATAGGATGAAGTTGTGAAGTCTCTCTTTAGGAAGATATAGCGTTACTAATGCCCCACGTTTGGCATTGGGTCCTTCCCTTGGTACTCAGAGTTCGACTCTGGCTTTCAGCTGCCTCGTGGGACTTCCAGGACCAAGTGCGGCTTTGTCTCCCTTTGCTCAGCAAGCCTGAGGGGCCCCGCGTCTGAAGAACTGTCTGTTCTCTGAATGGGCTCAGCCTGCTTCCCTGCTAAGAGTCTCTGCGCTGGACATCTCATCTATGTGGCATGCGCATTCCTGTGTCGTTCACACCGCTGTCCTGGGGATCTCAGTGCAAATCGCCTTCTTCAAAAGAGACCTTCCCTGCCCTAGGCAGTCTGGCTCAGTGGATAGAACAGCAGCCTGCAGACTGAAGGGTCCCAGGTTTGATTCTGGTCAAGGGCACATGCCTGGATTGTGGGCTTGATCCCCAGTGGGGGGCATGTAGGAGGCAGCTGATCAATGATTCTCTCTCATCATTGATGCTTCTCTCTCTCTCTCTCTCTCTCTCTCTCTCTCTCTCTCTCTCTCTTTCTCTTCCTCTCAGAAATCAATTTTTTTTAAATGACCTTCCCTGACATCCAATGGGGTGTAGCCCTAACTACTTTCCCATGATTCTTTCAATATATATATATATATATATATATATATATATATATATATATAATATTGATTATTTTACAGAGAGGAAGGGAGAGGGATAGTCAGAAACATCGATGAGAGAGAAACTTTGATCATCTGCCTCTTGCACACCCCCTACTAGGGTATGTGTCCCCAACCAAGGTACATGCCCTTGACTGGAATCAAACCTGGGACCCTTTAGTCCACAGGCCGAAGCTCTATCCACTGAGCCAACCCGGTCAGGGCTCCCCATGATTCTTCATCAACACACCTGGGACGTTGTCAGCGTGGCCTTCATCGCGCCCTGAGATTCTGTTGGCGCTTCATTTGCTTCCTTACCAGTTTGTTGCTCATCTACCACTGCCTCCCCCCGCTGGAAAACAAGTGTCCCGGGTGCAAGAACTTGCTTCGTGACTGGAGCACAGTGAGAGGTCAGGAAACATGTGCTGAGTATGGGAATTAATGAATTCTGTGGAAATCACATGTTGCCCCCTCCCCCCCCAACGGTTTCAAGTCTCCTGGAGAAGAGGAACAAATAAGCAAAGAATCAGTGCAGACTAACTGCCCCCAA